GGATATGAAATGAACTTTTCAAAAAAACTACTGATTGTTAAATTCTGCTGTTTTTGTACATATTTTACTGAGTTAACTGGTTGTTAGTAGTATAGAGTAGAGTAATTCTTTAGGCTAGCGGAAACAATAGGACCGTTTCAAACTGTATCGACTCTAAGTATCAGTCTGAGTTATACCTCACCTGCAGATATGGTAGTTCTCATTTCTTGAGTTCAGGATGGCGAGATCACAACATACTACCAGACGACGAAGTCCCTGACTGTTGGCTTGAGTCGTATGGGCAGGTGTAGACTATCTGTCTAGGGTCGGCTAGACGGTTGAGAACTGTTGGTCACAGTTGCACAAATGTATTCACCCGTTGGTGTCTTCTAAAGCTTGAGTATTCTTACTAATCTTTATCTTCAGATTGTTTCTTCTCTCACACACCTTTATCTACCTTTCTATCAGTCTTCTTATGTTCACTTTTTGTTTGTATGCTGCTGTGAAGTGTGGCTACCTGAAGTGATGCACTTGTGTGTGAGGTTCTACGTTGATTTTGTGTCTGTCTGTTGGGTTACAGAAAGCAAGTGAGGTTTTGCGCTTTAACGGTTGAAACTATTCCCAATGGTTTAAATGTATCCACGTTTATTACTCTGTTTCTGATATTTGGGTTTTTTTTCTCACACGGTTCTGTATCTTTTTCTATTTCACATGATGTTAATTGACTTTTGTTTTGCTTGGTTATGTAGCAATCCAAAGTAGTCGAACAAGATTTCTGGATCCATAATGTTTTAGAGAATTGTAACACTAGTCCGGTCAAATGAAATCGCTATATAGATGTTGGCTTTGTAACCACTGACTGCAAAGTAACCAAAACTGTTGTTGATGATGATGTTGAAGAATAAAATGGCTGAAAACGAATCTGTCGTTTAGATCTATTCCTGTATCGTATCATTTTGCACATATTCTAGTATTTTATATATTTCAACGCTCTTCCTAGTGTGCTTCTCTTTCCGGCTTCTTGCAATTAACTTGTTAAGGTTTTGTTCCTTTTGTCTATGTGCAACTGGTGTGTGTATGTGTGTGTATGTATGTAAAAGCTTGTGATCTTATCCGATTAATCATGTCAAAGTAAGTTGGGTAGGACTCAGTTTTGAACTCAAGATTTGTTATTCAAAAGTTGAATGCTTGAGCCAGTGATCCCACAACTCTTTATTTACCATCTACGAAATGACAATAACACAGTAATTGCTAAATCTGATAAAAGGAATTCAATAGCATTTATGGACAAATCGGATTATCTCAACAAAATTGATGAACATATTCAAACAATAAGCATATGAAAAGATCAAGAAACTTGTAAACACTGTCATAAACAAAATTAAGAAATTTACAACGGATCTGATACGCCGAATAAAGCCATCTTTGGCTGACTAGCAGAAATACTTCTACATATGAATTATTAAAGTACTTAACAACCGTATTATGACCCATTAAAGACCGTTCAAATTCTAGACTACTCAGTTTCTACGAGTTAAAACTAAGACTTAATAATCCTCATATAGAAGAAGATGAAAAAGCGGTTAGTTTCAACGTAACAAGTTTTTATACTAAAATACCAATCAATATAGCGCTGGAGATAGTCAGAAATCAACTAAATATTGACTCCGAACTTACTTACCACAGAACTGAGATATCGGTTGATGAGATCATATTAGGCGTACATTTGTGCCTAACCTCCACAATCTTCAACTTTCAGGGGAAAATATATCGACAAGCAGAAGGAGTAACAATACGATCTCCAATATCTCTAATCGTAGGAAATATATTTATGGATAGTTGAGAAAACATGACTTTATGAACGTTTAATCCCAACACCTAAAATATGTGAATGACACATTTACTGTGCTGAAGTCGAAACATAGACAATTTGTTCACACATATAAACTCAGCAGTAGGGCCAATCCACTCACGAGGAAGACAATGAACAAGGATTGCAGGATAAAACAACAGACAGACGATAGTTTACATACTACCATCTACAGAAAATCGACACATCCCAACTGGTATCAAGGCTTCAAGTCATCTCATCCAATGTCAGTTTGGGCGAGTTTAGTCAAATGTCTAAACAATAAAGCTTCAAAATTTACCAGTCAATGCAAGGTATTAGGCAAGGAATTGAAACACAAAAGAAACGTTACTAGTTATGAATTATCCTTTGCCGTTTATTGAGAAATTCGTACGTTCATATAAGAAATCAAATAATAAGAATAATACGAATAGGAATAATGGCGTTAACACAAGTAGAAAGGAGTTTAAAGCCTCTATTTTGTTACCATGTAAGGAAGGAGCATCAGAAACTTTACGTAAGATTCTCAATAAGGCTGGAATTGAAGATGGTATTTGAACCTACTTCTGTGTGGACTGTTTGCATGGGTTATGTAACTGATGTGTTTCCTGTATTTTCTATTGTTTGTAACTTCAACTGTCTTAGCACATTTTGTCTTATCTTTCTTCAGTTTCTTCTTTCATTCGCTAACAGATGTGTTGTCTAAACCTTTTTAAAATTTTATTTTGTTAATGCTGTTTTTCCTACACACCGATTAGATCGTGTCGACCAGTGATAGATAATGAAAGCGGTCTACCCTCTATGCTGTGGTAGGTATAACCATTTTTCTAATTCTACATCCATTATACTATTCAGCTCAAATGAACCATTATGGAAAACTGATGGATTAGTTGAAATGCATAGATTATGGCGCATTGTTCATATTCCTCTTAGTATAAATCAATCAAGTGATTTTAAGGTTCGTTGTTTGTACATTTATTACACTGAAATGTTCTTTTTAGCCACAAAAAAAAATCTATTTAAAGTTTACTACTCTAGAGTGTTGAAAGTTACAGGTATTTTGAATGGTTAACTATTACATCATGCAACTGTAGCGAGGTGGATTCACGATTATTCCACTTTATACTACGATTTATTAAACTTTTCAAAAAATCTTTTTCTCTCTATAAACTCCTTAGTATTACATGAATAAAAGAGAATAAGTTTTTCATTTTGGAATGTTAATGTATCATCTTGTATTGTTTTCACACATGTTTATGAGATAATTGTTTTGTTAATAGCAGTAAAATCACAATATTCCATCTGTTTAATGGTTCCTTTTCATCAAAGTTTATAATATTCACTAAAATGGTTTTTTTGTTAGAATATTTTTCTGTCTAGGCACTCGAATTCCAACGACTAGGTCATTAGTTCGAACCTCACCCTGCCTTTTATTATGTCATGGGCAGCCAGGCTGTAACATAAGCTCATCGCCTACTTCCCTTAATCATATGCGGTTGCACTGACTTCATTTCCATTCATAACAATGGTACACTTCTTTTGAGTAGATACTCATCTCCAAAAAACTTTATTGTCTCATTTTTCGCCTTGAAAAATGACAACTTTAACCAATGTATAAATGTACCACATTCTATGTTTTCGATATTCGTCTATTGAATTTCGAAAAATCTTTTTTTTTCTGGGTGATTTCATTTTCAAAGCTGTACATTTGCAAATTTATATATATATTTTTCAGTGTAATGATTTAATAGTTAAAAACGGTTTGTCAAGCATGACAGACAACACAAATAGTGTCAATAAATGAGCTGTCGTTAGAATCATGACGATATGACTAGAAACTGAATTGTCATCAGGCAGAGTATAGCAACAAGAATGAGTAGTAAACTACCTAAGAAGTGAATAGTGTGAAAACAGAAAAATAAAAAGAGAAGTGAGGAGGAGGTAGAGGAGATTTCAAAGACTGAGAACTAAGACTATGAAAGGAAAAGGGGTTGAACAGTCTTCTTTCGCGTGGATAACAGTTCGATTTTTCCATATGGTTGTCAAGAGCTTCAGCAATACAGAGAATGCGAAGACATACAGCCTTTGGAAGGTTTCTTTTCACTTTATAGATGACTTTGAACGAGAAGGTTCTTCAGATAAGGTGATTCGTGTTCAGAATGTGTTCATTTATAGCGCTCCTCATCGCTCCATTGTTACCTCTTTGTAACCACGTGGGATACTATTCTTGATCTCTTTTGCATAACAGTCACATCGAATGACCTATATATTTAGAAGTGGTCAGATGTGAAAATTTCTTTTTTAAGTTGTTAGAAATCGTTGGGCAGCAAGAGAACACCCATCCTAGGGTTGATGCAATGAATGTCTTCCTTAGAGCGTTTGATATCCTCCTTTTTAGATGTTATTACTAGAGGTGTCACTCATTGCTCTAGGTGTCTGATTTTCCAAACATTGAGTCATGAGTTCGAACCCCACTCCACCTACTGAGTTAGGGTTACTAAAAACAGACATGATCATTGTTTCATTGTAGTATTATTGTGTCTTAGTTTTGTTAGTGTATCTATTATTCGTTTTTATTATGATTGCAGAACAGCTATCCAACGAAAAGTTCAATTTGATCTAATTTTCATCCTGTTTTTTTGTTCAATTATTTGAGGCATATATAAGGTTGTTTGCATGTTTGCCTATGATACTTTAGTGGACTGAAAAATAGTTTTCTTCCTGCTTGTTTGTTTGTATGATTACTGAAATCGATGTTTTTTTTTATAATGAGTATTGTCTGAATGATTACCTGGTTGAGTTCCTCAAGACAATAGAAATCAGTGGTTGAGTTGACTTTTGGTGATGTAGCTGGTCGCGGAGACGCAGATGTATTCGCTCCATGACATCTTCTAAAGCGTAAATATTTACGCTAACCGCTATCTTCAAATTTTTTGTTCATGTACTACTATGAAGTGTGTCAATTTGGATCAATTCAGTTGTGTGTGTGTATATGGTGTTCCATGTTGATTTCATCTATCTGACTGTCTAGGCATTTTGTCAACATTATTTCCTCTCTCTTGCTTCCGCTTTTATTAGTCTACATTTCTTCTTTATCCATCTTTTTTTCTCTCACTTATTCAACTTCATAATTGTAAGGCTGATTTTTATTTCATATTATATTCATAATTAGATCGTGCCAATCAGATGTTGGTGTTAAAACGGGAATAATTGGTGTTGTATGGTAGGTTGATGATTGAAAAAAACTTCAATTCTCAAAAAAAATTAGTGCCAATGACCACCTATGGAACAGCAGTATTATTAATAGTCATAATGATAAAAATCATGGACAAGTGGTTCATTTAGGTCAACAAACATTTCAATGGAACAGTGTGAACATAGAATTAACAGGTCAATCAGATTATAAAGTATGTAGTGTATATTATATTCTTGCTTCCATTTACATATACTTGTCTGCATATTTACTTATGTTGCTGGAATAATGTTGGTATTGCCTGTCAAACCTCTTTATTGTGGATATAATTGGTTAGTAACTGTAATATCATCTTTTATACGATGGTCATAAGATAGCGGTGGTTTGAAGTGAGTGAAGTTGGTAGATCACTGGGCCAGAAACTCGATGGTCGCTGGTTCGAATCCCGCTGTCATCCAAATTTTCATTTCACCTTTAATCATTACCTAGTTCAATTGTCACTAATTTCTCCGATCACTTTCTATTACGCTAGTCACTGTTAATGTTGTTTGTGTGAGTGTGTTGCTGATACGTCAAACGATATAGCATTAGACTTCATAACCACGAAGTTAAACCGTTTACGTCTATTACAAGTGGATGTGACTCAACTGAACTGGGAATATTGTTCTTTTTGAATGTAATACTGCTTACTTGTGCTTTTTCCCTTCTTCATCAAGATAATAGAAATCGTGACGTCTTCATTTGCATTCAATAATTTCTTTGCTGAAGTTTTTTCCCTGAAAGATGTAAATTATGAACACTGGGTGACGATTAAAAGTGGAATGAAAATCTGTACCATGACAGGACTGAATCCAGTGACCTGCGGATGGTCGATGATGCCGTATGCAGTCTAATACAATCCAACAATCCGTTTTAAATTTATTTAAGAGATTATACATCCTACTTGCTGTGAAACGGTGCATAATGCTACTTACCCACCCATGTATCAATGAGGTTTTGAAGGTTTATCGTCTGGGGTGACTAGAACATGTGCTGAGCATGCCGAGTCATCGCCTACCTCTAAGTACAATATTAGGCGAAGTCGGATTACATTGGAAGAGGGTTCTGGGTGATCAGACTAAGAAGTGGTACCAGTGTATGAAGGTTCCTGACTGCTGGTCTGAGCCGTGTAGAGAGGTGGGGTCCCCGAGACCAGGTAAGAATCAGTGGTTGGGATGACTCTTAATAAGATGGTAGAAAGCCAGTCACAATGAATCAGTCATCTTCTAAAGTTGAATGTCTCGATTAACCTCAATTTTTAAATTCCATCTCTTTCGAACTTCCTTTGTCTACTTTGATATCAGTCTTTCTTATCCACAGACTGTTAGTCTACTGCAGTGAAGTGTGGCAAGTTGAACCGATGCACTTATGAGTGAGATTTCACAACAATTTCGTCTGTCTATCTGTCCCCTACCCGTGCTTAGGTGTCGGAGTGTAGTTTGACATCGGAGCGCATTTCTTGAAAGTTGACTGCCTAAATAAATCAACAATGTTTCTTATATCATGAGTTTCAATTCAATCTTATTACACATGTCTACTGTTTCTTATAACCGCTATTTAAAAACGATGCATGTATGTTAAAGTTTGGTGTCGATCTTGTATTGTGGATTGTTCGAGATAATGTTTGCAGTGTATGTCTGGATGTTCTCTATCTCTGCCTTTCATCATTCCCGCTCATGCACAGTCTTTAGTTTGAATTTTTCTATCAGCATCATTAATAATATGTCTTATCTTTCATAGAGCTTGTCGTAGTCAGACACAGGATGTGCAAGCACTTAGTGTATGGTAAGAGATGATATGCAATGACTAATTCATCGCCTGATAAATGTGTATTTTAGTTCATCTGATGTTCTATGGCGTAACACATATATAGGTAAAGAAAAGTGGAGTCAAGTGTTTATCAGCTTGAATACAAGTTCAAATCAAGAGTTGACGACGGCCTTGACAGATTTCAAGGTTAGTAATTTATAGTTTGGTTTACCTATATCAGCATCGTATAAGATATACTTTGTATCATGTGCTGACACCAGTCGCAGGAACATTGGAAACCTGGAAGAACTGGACAGCTGTTTCGTCCTAGTATGGGACTCTTCAGCAGTGCGCACCCACGACTCCACCCCACCAGTGGTCGAACCCAGGACCTTCAGCATGCTACCACTGAGCTACTGAGTTGAAATCTAATGGTCCATATTTCCTGCTTCTGTCAGTTCACAATATAGCGCAACCATCACCCAATGGTGTCGCTGAGTATTTATCTTCACATCCACTAGGTTTACCTCATTGGTCGTAGCTCCTCATTGGAGCTTCAGGAATCATCTCTCGAAGCTAGTTATCAACGTGCACTAGAATTATGCAATTTGGAGGGTTTGTGAGGATTTATTGCTTTCAAGTTAGTATCCTGAAGTTCCAGTGAAAAGTCATGACCGGTGGGGCGAACCTGGTGACCCTGAGGACAAATATTCAGCGATAACATTGGGTGACAGTCGCACTATGTCGTGAACTTACAGAACTTGTGAGTATGGACTACTGGTTTTCAACCCAGTGGCTCAATGCTAACCTGCTGGCCACGCAACCTGAAGGTCGTTGGTTCGATCTCTCGAGGGCGGGGTCATGGATACCCACCACTACAGAGTCCCATACTAGGACGAAACAGCTGTCCAGTTCTTCCAAGTTTGCAATGTTCCTTTAACTGATGTCAGTTCATAATCAACATCAACTTGAAATCAATAAATCCCCACAAACCCAAATTAAAATATAATTTATAACCTATTACATGAAGTTTAATTCAGTATTTCCCTAGACCAAATAGCAATTTTCCTAACGCGCACATATTGGTGCGTCATTTAAATGGTTTTTGCAAGTGATAGAGTTAGATATTTGGAGTGACTTTGAAGGCCATTCTAGCAACTGAAAGAATAACATCATCGAAATACTGGAATGTGATTGGTTATTTCAATACTTGCTTGGGTGGTACTTAAAATTACTCTATATTCATGACCTCAGCCTTTCTCGCCTGTATATCTGTTGTCACATGGTTATATCTCAGATCGTTAAGTTTGAGGATGTAGTTTTACAGTAGATAATATTGCTAAGTATACTGCTCTTCTGAAGCGCATATTGTCATGAAAGCAAGTCATTGTAATTTGAATCATAACCGAATTGTATGCGTTACTACATGTACGGATGTGTACTGACTACCTTTTTCATAGGGTGTTTTGATGGAAGAATTTTGTCATTTTACTGCAGTGGTGGTAGGAAGTATCTTAAATATTAGTTAGATGGAGGAAATCGGCAGGAAGCCATACTTCAGCTAGGTTTCGTTCCTTTTGACACTCGTCAGCAAGACGTGTCTGCAATCCCATCGAAACTGATGTTCCGCCTGAGATTCGAAGCTGTATCATACAGTGCTACAGTCGAAGACGTTACCACTGAGTTATTCTCTCCACGACTGACCTCTTGCAGGATTGAATGGGAGGTACATTAAGTCCTATTGATTAACATTGAGGATTAGACAACAAGAAGTTGGTTGCCCTCCAGTAACGAGTGAATTTAGGTATCCAATATGCTTTGGATTCAGTAGATTATTGTTCATTCAGACAATGGAAGTGGGCGCTTTCATTTCAACTCATTCATCAGACATATTAAATATGACAACAGCCGTCAATGGTTGGAGACTCTAGGTGATATGGGGTTCAAAATCGCACATGTATCCACACATTGTCATCATCTTAATCATCATACCGAACTCAGTATTTTCTTATTGGTCTTACCTCTCTCCTACCAATTTTGACTGCTTTGTTGATTGTTGTGATATTTGCGATTTTCCGTTGTTATGCAGGGCCGAATTGCTCGACCTCTGCTGTTGGCAGATGGGCTACTGTGAAGACCCCTCGATACTGATGGATATTCATGACGTTATATTGATCTTAGTGACTGGCAGAGGAATCCAGGACGCGCTTTTCATCCTATTTGGGACTCGTTAACTGGACGTAACTACACTCTAGTGCGGAGTGATGTTGCTCCCACTGAGGCTCAAACCCAGTACTTTCGCTTCAAACGCCAGAGCTGCCCTGTATAACAACGGAAAGTTACAAGTATTTTAACAACAAATGATACCCGTTGCGAAAGAGGCGGCTATTGTACCCCTTCGGCTTATCCGAAAACTCTTTGTGGTTTGAAGTGGTTACTGGGTTCGAGCCTCAGTGGGGACGACATCACTCTGCGCTGGGGTGCAGGTACGTTCAGCTGACGAGCCCCAACTAGGATGAAACTCCCGTCCTGGATCCCTTTGCTACTCACCAAGATCAATATGGTTTCTCGGTTGTAGCGCTGATGTGAGGTATTACAACTTGGACCGTTATACAGCTATTGCCTGGTCCTATGTTGCTGTTGATAATAGTATGCGTAAGCAGTTTATATACAGTGTATATCTTTCTGGATGAAATTTAGTGCTGACACTTATATCGAGATGACACCATCGCAGCTTTAAGACGCAACGTTTATAGTTTTAATGCCCTATGATACTTTGTTTTCAACGTAGTAGATTTCTCTTTATATCTCAAGCAAATGATTGGCTTTTTTCATTGTATGTGATCGATATTGATTCAGTGAATAAGGTTGTAACCATTTCAGTCTTTTCTTCCACCTAACTAGACTACTGTTTAGGAACTATCACTGCATTTTGTTCCATCCTTCTCTGTGACTGTGTTTCAAACCATACCTACCTGTAGCTGGGTTCATTTTCCTACCTTTTATGTTCCACTGACCTAAGTAACCTTCACCAGTTTCATCGATGTACGTAATTGACCTCAAAGTCATTTCATGAAATGTAGGCGACTAAACTAGTTTATACAATAAGCTCAACGGGACCGTAAATCGTTTGTCTTCAATTGAGTTTTTACGCTTCACACTGATACCTGTTTCGATGAGAGATTTCCGTGAGGTTAGTGTTTCTTCTTTGTTGATATGACAACAAAATAGAGTTTTTGAATACTTTTTGCACAAGGTTCAAATTATTATTATTTATTTCAGTTCACAGTCCGAAATGTGTAGTTTCTGATCGCTTTCTTACTAGTTTCAGTTTCTTGATGAAAATGATAAGAGTAACGTTTTCTTTATAGGCATACATCTGTACTAGTGTAGACTGTACACTTCGGTATCTCAAAGGAGAATAAA